TTACTAACCTTTCTTCTTGGAAGATGACCAGTTGTCTGCTGGTTTCATGTCCTCATAATCTGTCCAGTCAAAGAGAGCCATGTCCAACGTTGGCATCACCTCTCCTTGTCCTTTTCCTCGTCCAGACCTCTGAAAATGAAAGTGTACCTTGAAACTACACCTTACCTTTTACCCATACTCATACGGACATTATCAAGCATAGACAGTAAATACATTTCTGTCATCTGTGATGAATGCTTAGTTGTTTCAATTAAACCACAGCAGCAATAAATGAGTGTGTTTTGGTTTGCTCACTGTGTTTTGCTAGTAAATGTATTCGGTGTGTTCTTAATGAAACTCATTGGACTTGTGTTGTGACCAGCAGCAGTGATGTTTCATTGATTTATAAAATACCCCCACGGAGACAACAGGGATAGCAGCAGAGCTTTAAAAACCAATCGATTGGTAACAGAGAACATGGCTGGCCACACACACCAGCATACAAATATACATCATGCAGTACTTGTGTGGTTAATACATAAACAGTTTACAGACTTGCAGTTCATTGAACAAACGCCTTTTCTTTTCTAGTCAGTGGGGACTAGATCAAATGCCTGCAGATCAAATACAGCACAGAGTGGATGGTGAGGTGACATGTTTAAATGAAATCCAGCTGTATTTTTATTTATTTTTTTAAAGAAATTGCATTGCAGTTATGGAAACGTACAGAATGTAATTTCTTACTTCATTATGTTTTGTTGTTGTCTTATCTATAAAAGCAAATGGAAGTGATTAGCATGCAAGAAAATCTTTGCCTTATGCGTTTATGTCAGGATGGTAGAGTGCAACATGCGATGCACTAAAGGTATGATGGTTGATGATGATGGTTTCTAGGCTAAGTGAGAAAAAAGCCCACCCAAAAGACCCGAACCACTTAAAACTGTTTTTTCCTATGTGTCAAAGAAAATAAATCAAGGTTTGCTGAACCAAATTCTTAGAATCTCCTGGAGTACCTATGCACAATTATGAGTTTAAAATGATCCTTATTTATCTTCGCTCTATTTTAGATGGAGACAGGCCCTTGCATCTGTTCGTTCTCTGTTTGAAACAAGCTATTTTAGGCCAACTTTCTTCTAATTGGCTGATCCTCTCAAACAGAAGATTTGAACAGTTGGTAAGCGGGACATATATGCTCAAAGCCAGAGAACACAGAGAAGATATCCTTAATACAGAAGATCCTTTTAAGGATATCTGCTGTATTTGAAGGAAAATGTACTTGACAAAATGTTTGTGAAGGTTCTCAGTCATC